CCTCTCCAGTCTTTTGCACCTGGCACCATGACTAACCACAAACTTTCATTTCCTCTTCACATGATCTCCTCCATATCACCCTCACCTCACACACCCAACTCCTCGTTTACCCTTTCGGTTCCACTCGACGGCCTGGAATGTGATGTCTCCGAATGGATTTTCCCAGTGTATGCCCAATCCAATCCATCTCCACTTTCTCCTCCTGCATATTTGATGGATGATAGGTTGTTGGTTTTTTCTTTCCCAGAGTGAATTCCTTGTTGCTTATTATTTCTGGCCATCTGCTCTCCATCTTCAGTGTCGAGCGTTGATGAATGTCTGTAGTTTGTTGGAAATGCTTTTCGTGACACACCAAGTCCCTCAACCATCGCACTGAAGCACTGACTTACTTGACTGGATTGGTATTGAAAATCCGGATGTCGTTCACGCTTTATGCTGAGTGCAGTAGATCTCTACCCTGATTTCAGATTAATGAAGGCCTGTCTTGCTGCCTTTCTGATCCTGGTTTTGACATCCTCGTGTGTGCCAGTGCCGTTTGTTGTTGACACGATGTTACCTAGTTAGGTGGGTAGGTGAAAGATAAAAGTTCGTTTAGGTTTCTCCCGTTGGTGATGGTGATTGGTGCTTGTTGTTGATGGTGTTGGTTGGTTGGTTATCTTCATCACCTCTGTCTTCTCTACGTCCACATGAAGTCACGTCTTCGCTGCCCAGCCTCTTCTTTCAACTTGTTGGTTTTTGCCTTTAGATCTTTGAGTCTGTGCGACATTAAACATAAATCGTGGGCGAAATTCAAACCTTCTAAGGTCTCTTCATCGATCCAGCATATGCCACTGTACTCGCTCCTCACTGTGTGCTGCATGAACCAGTACACCACAATCAGGAAGATCATCTGTAATGGTGTGCAGCACTGTCGTACTCCGATCTTCACTTCAAAGGCGTCACTGAGCTTTCCATTTTGAATCATATGGCATGTGCATCACTTAGCATATACCTACCGAATAAGGTTGGTAACGTTTTATGGTATTCTGTAGTGTTGAAGCAACTGCCAAATTGCTTCTCAGTCGACGCTGTCGAAGGCTTTTTCAGAATAAATGGAGTTGGTGTAAAGAGTTGACTGCTGTTCTATGCTCTGTTCTATGATGAGGCGTAGCGTTTCAATGTGGTCCGCGTATGGTTTGTTCTTCTTGAAGCCAGACAATCTGTTGCGTTCGTAATTCTGAAAGCAGAGCATTTTGCAGTCTCTCCAGGATGATGCAGCTTATTGTTTTGCTTCGTGTGAATAGGATCAGGATTCCTCTCCAGTTCATGTTCTTGCAAAGACTTAGGTCTCCCTTCTTTAAGAGTTTGACTAGATAGCCCTTCTTCTAATCAATCGGCAGGTAACTAGGTTTCCTTCACCATCTCTCATTGGTTTTGTCTGCGTTTATCTCTTCCCTCCCAAATAGTAAGTAACCTGGTTACTTGATCTAGTGTTGTCAGGCCTCTGTCTCCCTCACCTGCAGCCTGTTCTGCTTAACTTGCCAATGTGTCGTAGAAGTGTCTTTTGTCTTTGCGCTCACTCCTCTCCACTTCTTTGTCAAGTGTTGTATAGGTTGTACCCAGTTCCTCTTTTCGTTGCTCATCCCTGCACTCCACCTCACTACACTGGTTCATCTCCTTCACCATCTTCCTCTCCTTCCTCTGACAGCTTCCATGTGTCCGTCGAGATCCATTCCTTATTTTCTTTCTTCTCCGTTCCTAATAAGGTTATTCAGGTTTCTTTCCACATCTCTTTCACAGAGTTCCCGTGTTCTACACAGGTTTTTTCAGGGATGTTGCTCAATATCTCCCATTTTGTCCTAATAACTGACTGACGTGAAGATCTCCTTTGTAGTTACGTCCTTGAGTTTCTGTTTTGGGTGGGTGTTGAACTTGAACTGTAGTCTATCACCAACTTCTTTGAAGGCTTTCAACTTGATTTGGAGGCTTCCTTACACTAGATAGTGATCTGAAGCTACATCTACTCGCCTTCCTGATTTTGTGTCAAGGAGGCTACGTCTACACTTCCTTCACATTGAGATGAAGTCCATTTCATTTTTAGTCAGTTCATACGGTGAAATCAAATCCATGTCGCTTTGTGAATATCCCTGCGTTTGTACGCACTGCATTGCCTCCAATCACCAAATCGTTGGATGTACAGAAGTCTGCAAAACAGTTCTGCATTCTCATTCATTTCACCGAGCGCTTCCCAACCCATGGTTATTTCTCTTCTTGTGTTGTCCCCTCCCAGTTCGGCATTCATGTCGCCCATTAGAATTTTGATATCGCCAACTGACGTCTTGTCCAATGTTGATTGCAGTTGTCTATAGAATTCCTACTTCTTCTCCTGGTTTGCATTATTAGTAGGTGCGTAGCGCAGCATTGTATGGTTGTGACTTTCTTTCCTTTTTAGTTGAATCTTGCTGTCATAATCCTGATGGAGGAGATTGGTTCTCACTGCATGAGAGCCTTCGATGCTCTTGGGGACATCATGATAACCACTCCAGAACTCAGTGTGCTGCGTTCGTCGTTGTCTTTCGGGTGACAATATAGGAGTAGATTCTTGACTGTCAAGTTGACAGTTGAGAGAGTTCACTTCCATTCCATCTACTTTCGCAGATTCCAAGCACTTCTTTGCTATACTTTCTCATCCCTTTTGCAATCTTAGTGGCCTTGCCAGCCAAGTTCATACTTGGTGCCAACATTCCATGTTCTCATCGTTACTTCCGTTTTCATCGAGAGAAGATACATCGGCCGATGGGCTTCCCGAAGGCTTTCACCAACCGGCGTCATTTCGCCCCTCCGATTCCAGCGAGGAATAAGTTTGTTTTTATTTTTTGTCTGTGCTTCGAAGTTTCTTTAGCGGTTGAATTGGTTTTATGGGGTAGGGTTGCTAGCCCTATGCCCAACCTTCCCTGTTTATCCGGGCTTAGGACCGGCTAGTAACCAGTGAACTAGTTACATACGCTAGGTTCTTATTGAGTATTAGTATGCCACTAATAATTACTATGTATGTATGTATGTATATTAGTATTGGTTATAAAAGTTATACCCCTTTAATGTGAAGGCTACTTTTCGAACTCAGCTTTTTCCTGTGTTATTTATTCAAACAATTGATGAGTTAAACAGTAAGAGACAGCCAGTAAATCCTTCAGTCTATCAGTAAAACGGTCAACAAGAGTTTTCCATCTTTCTATTCGTACACATATAAGGATGAATTCATTCTACTCTAATGTTAAACAACTTTAATTCACTATATATTGTTTATGAATCCAAGTTTTTGCTTTCTAGCCTAATGTTACATTGATGCATAATGCCAAAGTAATAACTTATTTTGTTTCAGTAGGAGATATTTTCAAATACCATTGCTAGGCTATTACAATTGCTAGTGAACATTGAATGTGTACTGAATAGGAGTGTGTTTAATCCACTAATATATCGATTAAAAATGGTTTATAAAGTTGGAGAATCCAACAAAATCCTATACTCAAGCAACTTCTGACTTTTTAGTACTGTTTAACAGAGTTATAATCGTCTGGTAAACAACTTTTGAGAAGATAGTTGAGTTAGCAGATACAATAGTGAATATCCATCAAATAAACTGTTTGCGATTTGTACTACTATCATCTACTTCTCAGTGTGGATATTGGTAGGGGTAGGAGTAGGTTAAAGAATAACTAAGAGTTCTCATACTGAGATACGATTTATGAAGTAAACGATTACTACACTGAATCATGTAGGGAGCAATAAGATTCCCAGTTGGATTTCACAAAACTGGGTATTTTTGGTAAGATAATGTAGGCCATAGAACTCAAAATTACATGTGACAGTGTAGATGTACCCAGTAAGAATCTTCAATTAAATCTTGAAATTCTTGACAACACAACTAATTCAAGGCCTATATTTATAATATTTGCTCATGTAGTCAATCAGTGTCAACATGAAAGTTGGTAATATTGTGTAACAGTCTAATTTGCCATACCCTGAATCAAGACAACTAGATGCAAAGCAACAAGATAAAATATTGAGAAATACGGAGAAAATGCGATCAAAAACCATAGAAAATTATAGGATAGGAAGAGACGGTAAAGCGAATAACGGAATGTGATACGAAGATTAGAAGGTAGTGCATGAATACATGTGTGCCACTGAGGTCGATACTGAGCCAGATTACATAATCTCAAGCCGTAGAATTTCGCTGTCAATTACACTCCCTTTAAGAAGTCTATATTCCTCTATATGGTTCAGACCGGCTGTGACTCAGGATGTGCAACACATAACTAGCCGAGTCAATAAACGTTTGCAACATCACCGACTAAATCACCTCGCTTAGTGATGGACAGTGGCTAACAGTGGGATACAGGATGCGTACCCCATTGTATTTGGGACTCGTCAGCTACAGGTACCTGCACCCCACTGGGTGTTGTCTCCACCGGGATTCGGACTCGTAACTGACTGCTTCAAACGCCACAGCGTTGTCCACTGCACCACTTCTTGTGCGACGGGTATAGTTTTAGTGTTGTTGCTCGTAATGTCCCATGACAGAGAAACTGACCACAGTGAGGAAAACACAAAGTATAAACTGAGTTCTTTCTTTACATTTAGACTGGAAGTAGTGGAGGTAATGTATACTAGGCTACGAATACAGAACAATGAAGTTGAGTGCTTATTTAATACCGAATGAGCCGTACTTTCCATAAGTGAAACATAATCTCAGAGCTGAAGACCGTAAGCATTGGCAGTTAAGATGATACGTAAGCAAATGTCAGATATTACAGAGGTACCAGGTTGTACTATGGAGATCGGATACCGTAAATTCAGCTATTCTTCCAGCGTCTACAACCAAGTACAGTGAACAGATCTAGGTGCTGACTTTTAGAAAGAAGTAAGAGCTGAGATCAACGAAAAAAAGAGATGGTGATTACGAAATACGGGTCATCCAATATATATGAAAATAATGAGATTGGAGAAGTAGGAGAAATAAAAAACTTAACAGGGAAATAATTTTGTTCTGTTGTACATACATGAACGATATAATGCTCCGATCCGATTTACGACAAAACAATGACTACAGCATGATATTCAGCTGATACCAGAAGACAATGGGGTTGAAAGTATATATATTTCAACTGAATGGCGTGTTTATAGATGAAAGTTCAGTCGTTTATATACCTCTTAAAGAACACTGACAAGGGGCAACAAAATAGTTTATTCAAAATGCAAAATGAACCAATCAGCGTCTAGCATCTTAAACCGCTGTAAAAATAAGTAGCATGGCGTAGAGCGAAAGTAAGGTTTAAATTTTACAGTGATAATATTTACATACATATTACAGGTTAGTTTTTTGGGGGAACCAAAACTTCCCTTAACACCTCCCTCTTTTTCTAAACAAAATGGGTCTATTACTTGTGATCCACCTGGAACCGAACTATTCATTTCCTCCACTGATGTGACCTACATCAGCGTAGTAGTTCTTTATTGATCGGTTTTGTAGTTGTCTAGGCATCGTCTGTGCGTAGTACCGTGAACGTAAGATATCATTTCGTTTTGTTCCTTCAGTTGGTTTTATGTAGTTGGCTTTTATATCACGTCCAAGTTTCTGTTCCCAATACGACATCATATCATACGTACCCTCGTCTGCCGACAATTACTCTATCTATCCACTTTTTATGTCTTGAGTCTGTAGTGTCTGGCGAATATTGGTGTATTTTGTTCTCGAAATAGTTTAGGGATCAGACATCCCTAACCAAAAACACGTAACATCACGAAGTAAGAGAGATTATTTGTTCATATCCTCCTGACTTCTCGAACTACACTTAAGCGAAGCAGAGATTTCAATCATATGACCTACAGATTGAAAGTCAATCATCTAAACCAATGAATCACAGTACTACATCTGTGTTTATTAATCTATTTAGAGAAGAAAAAGGTCAACATTATGATTATTATGATATTACAATCGTAGAATGAGTAAACAAGAAATGAAATTAATCAAACATTAATGACTAAAAACATTACACATATATGTACATGAATAATAACAAACAGAAATAATCTACAACTATTGCCATCCTGAAAGTTGAATTAAAATATAATGTGAACACTTTATCAGTCTACAATTTGTCCCTTAACCTTAAGCTTTTTTAAAACACGTCCTTGTTCTAAGGCTGCTGCTCGTCTACGACGTTGAGAACTGCTAACACCATCTCCAGTTGATGATGAATTATCTGAATCAAAATTTCCTGTTCCTGTTGATGATAAAGCTGGTGAAGATCTATTATGCATTATTATTGATTCAGTTGTCATTTGTTCATAATCTGAAGGACCTTGATTTGAATTAACTATTGATGTGTTGTTATATCGAAGTTTTGGATCTAATGCTGTTGTTGTTGTGGTGGTGGTGGTGATGGTATTCGAGCCAACAATCATATTGTTATGTAAGCCTAAACTGCCAGCAGCTGCTGCCAATGTACCAGCTACACCAAGTGAATGTCGCGGTAGAATTGGACGCTTAGAATCAGCTACACGTAAAGCTGCTAAAATCAATGGATCAATCAGGTTATAATAAGAATCTTCTGATGATGATTCAGGTAAACCAGGATTTGGAAGACTAATTAGTCCAGGAGGTAATGACTGAAAAGAAAATGAGGTGAGAAAAAATAGGTGGATTTTTGAATCAGTATCTGCATAACAGTAAGCTTTAAACATTAAACAAGATATGGTAGCGAAAATACAACGAAGAAATGACCATCTTTATGACAGAAGTGATGGCTGTATAAAACGCTATGTTTTTATTAAGAATAAAGATACACAAGCTAAAGTTTTTTTTATGCCTGGTTTGTGACGCATACAGAAGACATCAAAATCTCATCACAGACTAACATCAGTTGGAGGAACATTAGAAGCTTGAGAGCACTGGATAGCTGTTTCGTCCCACGATGAGACTCCTCAACAGTGTGCACTCATGACCCCACGCCGACAGAAATTGAACCCAGGACCTTCAGGTTCCGTGGCCAGCTCGTTACCATTCAGCCACTGGGTTAGAATCTAATGGTCCATATTTTCTACTTCTTTCAGCTCATGATACAGTGCGACCTACATCCAATGTCATCGTTGAGTAAATATCCTCATGGTCGACTTGGTTGACTCCACTGGTCACGACTTTTCATTGGAAGTTCAAGAATCACCTCTCGAAGCTATTCACTTATAAGCGCTAGATTAATTCAATCTAGAGGTTTATGGCGATTTACTAATTGATTTCAGGTTATTTCATCTTAGTATGGGACTTCGCTGTTCAGTCCTTACAGGTTCCCAATGTTCCTCCAGCTGATGTCAGTTCATGATGAATTCCGGCCTGAAATCAATTAATAAATTCCCACAAACCTTCATCAAAACACTCACTGAATAATAATAAAATCCACTCATTGTATCACTATCAATAAGAATAAATATGCAATATTTTTAGTCAGTAGGCGTAGACAGTTAATGGGAAGAACGCGTATAAGAAATCTTCAGGCACTGATGTAATTCTCTTAACATACAACTACTGGACTGCAACTCAGTTACATAATGATAATAATAATAATGTATTCACCTCACAGCTTAATTTTCTTTGTTACAGGTCAACTGTGAACACAACTGCCAACCATTTCACCAAGAGTCCTCAAACACTGGTTCCTTTCATCTCAGGGACCCTAACCAGGTACTCTACATCTTCCCATACAGAGCGGACGGACAGTGGGAGACTTCATCGACTGTTTGAATGTCTTAGTCTGGCCACCCGGAACTTTCTTCCAATCTAATCCAACTTCGCCTAGCACTGTACATCGAGGAAGGGGGTGACCCGGCATGCGTAACATAATTCCAAGCCATCTCAGTCGACTAAGGTTCACAACCTCACCAATCAACTTGCCTTTCATCTGATCTCAATATTGCTTATACAGTGATTCCACCAAACATGAGTAACGTTAGGAAGGCACCTATGATCAAAACCCTGTAACCGCTTTATGTCTTCGACTTTTAACGGTCGTGTCTCAAGGTCGTATAATAGAACAGAACAGACTGCAGCGGAGTATACTCGTTCATTGATTGATAACTGGATACCGCACCAGTCTGTGCCACAAACAATGCAAGTTGGCTAATACCAAACTGGCCTTCTGTATCTGAGCTGAGATTTCATCAGTAGCCACTCCGTCGGGACTGATGCAACTTCCTAAGAAAGTGAAGTAGTCGATACATCCCACCATTTCACTCCCTATCATTAAACTGAGTGGTTTTAGACCAGTCCTGAAGCATCATCTTACACTTGACAGGTGCGAAACGCATCCTAAACATACTCAGATTTCTGCTCAACGCGTTAGGAAGACCCTGCATTTTTTTCAGTATCTTCACCTAGCAGGACAATATCATCTACATACTCCAAATCAACCAGATAGCCTACAGTTCAATCATGGCCCGAGTAGCTCAGTGGTAACATCTTCGACTGCAATATTGAGTGGTGTACATTCGAATCCCATAGGAGACAACATCGGTTCCGTCAAGGTTGCAGATACACCTTGCCACAGAAGACGAAACATAAGTCAAGCAGGGCTTCCTGACGATTGCCTTTATTCCACCAACGGAAATGCAGCCTACTCGATTTTATGATCATGTTTCAAGAAATTTACAAGTACACCTGATAGAAACTGAACATCAAAGAAATACTACTCAAATCGTTATAATACGAAATAAATAAAAACTGCCATGTTTATTAAGGTTTGCTGAAGCTCTTAGAGATAGACACTTTAAACTTAACCTTAGCTTATCATTATTTATCAACTGAACTTACATGATAGTCACTTTATTGTTTTCTAATTATTTTTGCGCTTATGTAACTCCTTAACGGTTTAACAACGTTCTTTCTTTATATTTTGTTACTAGGTTATCCGTTTTCTCCAGACACACTCAAAATCGTCTCGAATAAAAAACGTGACACACACACACGCCAAGCCTATGCACTTTCGTGTAGTAGTCAGTCAGTGAGCTATACTTAATGTATGGCTGCCTAGACTTCGGTAGGTTGGGCGAGGTTCGAACCTATGACCAATTAGTTGGAAGTCAACTGCTTAAACCAATCAGCTACAAATCTAACTAGAATCGCCTATCTGATAGCTAATCTTCACTAGGATACATAAGGCCTTTTCATGTCTCTTCGATTCACTTTCTCATCCAACATCATAGAATTTTTGATACTTTTCTGTTGTTATATACACTTAAAGTATCATTTGACTATCTGGTAGACTAGTATTTATACTGGGTGATGATTGAAGGTGAGATGAAAATCTGGACCGCGACTGGATTCAAACCAGCGACCACCGGGGCTACCGGCTCGGTGCTCTGCCAATTGAGCTAAGAGGTCCAACTGCTGGCCAGATTTTCATTTCACTTAAATCACCAAACAATGTGCCAGCAGTTGGACCCCGTAGCTCAGTTGGCAGAACATCGGGACGGTAACCCGATGGTCGCTGGTTCGAATCCGGCCGTAGTCCAAATTTTCATCTAACCTTCAATCATCACCCAGTATAAACACTTAAAGTATGTCATTTATCTGAAAATGTAAATTTTAGTTTTTGTGCAGTTGATGAATATCCCCTAAACGAAATAATGTTATTTCATTCTGAATATCTATTTGTTCTTGCTTTGTTTAAAATTGTCAAACGAATGGGATGTATGTAATACAGCCTAAATTCCACTTTCATTCACCATGAGTAGATAAGTATTTTCCACATTGACAGATAAACTCAACGTAAAAACTCGCACACGAGTGCATCGGTTCAAATTGCCGCAATTTAGAGTTAATTTGAAATGACCCAGGACCATGCTGAGTTTTATGACTGTAACAATGTGGAATTAGGAAAGGAAAAACCTTAAAACTAATCTCAAATTCCCAATCAATGTTTATAGACCACTGGATGTTATTCGTATATTTATCTAACGCGATCTGGATACTCTATTATCAATTAAGAAGTCTCTAGAAATGGGGGTGGGGAAAAATCAGAAGAAAAGATACTGACCTTTAATATTTGTCAAAGCACTTACAAGTTTCCAACAGTATCCAGGCAATGAGTTGTGATTCATTGGCTTAGGCGGTTGATTTCCAACCGATAGGCTATAGGTTCAAACTTAGTCTCAACTACCAAGGTTTGGACAGCCAGGTAGTAACATTAGCCTTCACACAATAGATGTGGCTTATTGCTTACTGCATGGATGTGCACAATGTTGCTGCGTCAATTTCAATTCCACTCGATTTCTCTGAGGTTCAATAGTACTACTTGGCTGTTCATAACCTCAGTAAGCGAAGTAAGAATCAAATCGGTCATCGAGCGGTTGAAAGTTGAAAGTCTAATTCATTCAATGACATAAAGATACAGTGATGAAGTAGAACTACCTGATTAGGAGCGAATGCCTCCAATCGTAATCGAGCTGACTGGAGTTCAAAATCACAATTCAATAAAGCCAAGCGTAAATCGAATAGTAGTAATATCTTTGAACGTAAACTGTTATATGCTTCAACAATCTCTGCAGTCGCCGGTGGATTAGGATCTAAAATGAAAAAACATTCATAAAAATCTGCAGAGTGTAATAAGAAGACGGAGGTTATCATACTACCATATGAGGGGGGATCGAAAGGTATGATCTTAAGACGACGACTTAACTCAGTTATCAAAACGACATATTATGCAGCCAACTTGAATATTATCGAGAAAATGAAATCTACACTTCAAAATAAACCTCATCGCTTCATATATGATTACGTCACATCCCACTGGTGTATACTAATTTATATGCGTGTGAGGTGACACATATACATTGAGAGGAGTAACCGACATATGAAGTCGAGGATGGTACAGAATATCCCTAAATGGTAAGAAAAACAATTACATTCAAATAATCCGATAAATACAGAGGGAAAACAGACGTCATCCCCTACGGGTCACAGGATTGACTTCAAAACAGCCTTTAGACCATTGCATAGGAGTCATCAAGACCGTATACTTAGGTTCATTGAAGCTTTAGCTATCCGAAAGTTCAAGCACCCTGTGTGTACTCAAAAATAGTTTGTCCCCACCTCAAACCTACCTTGGTAATCTTTATCTTATTTTAGTGTCAAGGGAGATCTGAAAATGTATTATTCCTCCTTATTATCCCCATATTTTCCAAATCCTGTATTATCTTAGTTTACTTATTTTTCCCCACCCTATTTTCATCCTTTATATAAAACGCCTTGACAAGTTAATGTGTGATCATATTGTTGGAAATGTATTGCACGAATACACCGGATATTTCTCAGATAATCTCCGTCTTCTTATTACACTATGCAAATTCATTAAAGGAACTAAGTCTATCTGGAGGTTTGCCGAGGTTAATGAATTGACTTTAGGTTGGAATTCATCATGGGCTGACATCAGTTGGAAGAATATTGGAAAACTTAAAGCACTGAACAGCTGCTTCGTCTCACGATGGGACTCCTCAGCAGTAAGCACCCAGGACCTTTAGGTTCCACGGTTAGCACGTTGCCATTGAGGCACTAGGTCGGAATCAGATCATCTACATTTCCTAATTCAGTCACTTCACTATATAGCGCGACCTGCATCCAATATCGTCGTTGAGTAACTGTCCTCATGTTCGACTTCGTTGACTTCTCTGGTAACGAATTAATCTAGCGCTCATTGGTGACTAGCTTCGAGAGGCGATTTACCGAAGTTCCAATAACAACAAAGTCAAACATGACGACAGTTACTCAACAACGACATTGGATGTAGGTCGCGCTATATAGTGAACTTACAGAAGTAGGAAATATGGGCGATTGGATTCCGACCCAGTGCCTTAATGGCAACGCACTGACCGCAGAGCCTGAAGGTCCTGGGTGCTCACTGCTGCGGAGCCCATTGTGAGACGAAGCAGCCGTTCAGTGCTCCCAGTTTTCCAATGTTCTTCCAACTGATATCAGTCCATGAAGAACTATAAAAATCAGATATCAAAAGGAGTGTGATTACATTCATATGATTATAAGCAATGATAATTGATGCTCGAAACGTCATACGGTATATAATACTGTATCACTGAATGTCATGAATCAAATAAATAAATCCATTATGGAAACAGATCCTTAGTGGAAGACTGTCACACAGAGATATAATTTAGTAGTATAGACACTCAACTTGCACCTACTAAGTAATCGGGTAATCATTTTAAAGAAAAAGCATAAACAGACTGCAATAACGAAATGTAGCGCCAACTGAGTCGGAAATAGGCTGAGGAATGCACCCCTGATAAAAACTTCGGGAGTGATAGCTGTGTCATATATCATACAAAATGATAGAGATTGGAAACCATCAACTTAATAGGTTCGATAGTAGTATGTTAATCATAAAGTTTGACAACTTTTCGTATCATCCTCATGAAGCTTTCAATAAAGGATTGGATAGGTTTGTTGTTTTTCATGACATTGTCAACAGTGTAATGTAAACATAGTAAAGATATACTTCAGAATAGACACAAATATGAAAGAGGTTTAAGAAAATATAATTTTTAAATAAATATACTTACCAATTTGTAAATGGCCTAAGAAATTTTCAATAATTCTTGTCTTCTTTTGTCCTAAATTGTTGGGTAATTTCATCTAAAACGTTTGTGTAGAATATATATTTTCAATCATGAAAGGATAATTTAATGACATACCCTTAAAACAGGCTGTAAATTTAAGCCTAATAACTAAAGTGATGACAGTGAGATAAATAATTGCATAGTATTATACTAAAACCATGAATAAAGAAATAAATATTTGGAATCAATCAATGAGAAGTACTAGTATAGATATAAATTTCACGATTGTTGATAATCGCTACCAAGATGCCATAACAACCTTCAATGGCTTCTTATTCTACTGATAATCTGAACTTGTATTGCTCAGGATTGAAGCTGTAAACAGTAATGATAAATTATACAAGACACTTTTGATGCTCTGTAAAAGACTTAAGCGATAATTAATGTAGAGAAGACGGAGGTGATGAAGATAACCAACTAACAACAGCATCAACAATAAGCACCAATCACCATCACCAACGGGAGAAACCTAAACGAACTTGTCTCTTACACCTATCCACCTAACTAGGCAGCGTCGTTTCAACTCCAGGCGGTGGCACAGATGAGGATGTCAAAATCACGATCGGAAAGACAGCAAGACAAGCTTTCATTAATCTGAAGTCAGTGTGGAGATCTACTGCACCCAGCACAAAGCGTGAACAAGATCAGGATTTTCAACACCAATTCAATCAAGTCAATGCTTCTATACGGCTCAGAAACTTGGCGTGTCACGAAAAGTACTTCCAAAAAACTACAGACATTCATCAACAGTTATCACATACGCTCACTCGATTCTGAAGATGGCGATCAGATAGCCAGAAGGAATAAGTAACAAACAACTCTGGGGACTAACCAACCAACAACCTATCACCCAACAAATATGCAGAAGGAGAAAGTGGAGATGGATTGGATTGGGCATACACTGAGTAGACAGACTGGGAACATCACTCGTCAGGCCAGGACAGGCCAGGCCTTCGAGTGGAATCCAAAGGGGAAACGACGAGTTGGGCGTGTCAGGTGAGGGTGACATGGAGGAGATCATGTGAGGAAGAAATGAAAGCTTGTGCTCACTCGTGGTGTCAGGTTGAAAAGATAGCAGAGAACAGAGTGCAATGGAGATGTGCTACTGAAGCCTTATATTCCACTAGGAACCCAAGGATAAAATAGCCAATAATAATAAAACATCCTTGCGGGTTACAAATGTATTTCGGTAACGAGTACAAAGAAGTAGAAGACTTGAGTCTCTTGTTGATTGACTAAACACATAAAACTCAAAACAAAACACATCGTAGTTTGATGTCAAATAGTTGAATAGACATTTCACAAACCTGATCGACACACTTAACAAGTAAATACATCATTACCGAATGATCATATTCTCTGAAGTTGAATGTATTAGACGCAAAAAAAGTTCTAATCCATATATTGGTAGGGATTACCACTGCAAAGTTATACTGAAACTCACCTTTTGACTGCGTAAATGAGCACCAGGATTTTTACTCACATCCAAGAAGTTGATTGTGTACTGTGTATTCTGCAAAAAAATACATAGAAAGAAAAACAAGATGAAACACAATAGATTCAAGAGGTGTATACAAAAGATGATGTACATTGTGATGATGGGATGATGGCGAGTAATAGTGAATCCAAAAGACTCCATTCTTAATCAACATCTTATGAACTCCAGTGAATCTGAGGAGCATTTGTACAATCGGATTACAACCAATCATGTTTAACAGTTTACACGTACATGTGGTCATACATACATGTCCATGAAACATCTAGTATGGGACTCCTTAGCAGGGTGTACCCATGACCCCAACCCGACAGAAATCGAACCCACGACCTTCAGGTTCCGCGGTCAGCACATTAAAATTCAGCAACTGGGTCGGAATCTAATGGCCAATGTATCCTACTTCTGCCAGTTCACGATATAGCGCGACCTCCATTCAATGCCATCGTTGAGTAACTGTCTTCATGTTCAACTTGGTTGACTTCACAGGTCACGACCCGATGGCCCAATGGTAACGTGCTAACCGCGGAACCTGAGGGTTCTGGGTTCGATCCCCGGCGGGGTGAGGTTATGGATGTGCACTGTTGAGGAGTCCCAATACAAGAACGGAATAGATTTCCGGTGTTACCAAGTTCACAATGGTTCTTCCAACCAATGTCAGTCAAGGATGAATATCAACCTGAAAACAATAAATCCATCCTTAAAAACCTCAAAATTAAACTCACTTGATAACTCTACTTTAATATCAAATCTCATTCATGTCATATAGATTCTCTTCTCATTGATCATTTAACCTCGAAACTAACTATTTCATCCTTCATTACATCGACAATTCTTTAAACTCATTTACACTTTGTTACACCTCATATGAATATGCATGACAACAAACTCCGTATTATGATCAGATTGTTCAAAATCCAGATAAACTGTATCTTATTATTGTTTCATCGAAAGAATTTATCCTCAAACTAAAACGGCAAAGCAACAGTGCGGTGTGTAGTTCATTCATGATGTCCAATTCTGTACACTAGGCAATAAACCACACTGATGGGGTGAAGACTAATGATACTTCTAAGTGGCTACAACAGAAATGTAGGAGGGGTGCTGGTGAGAATTGTTTCGAATAACTGACCAACTTCTTTTCGTTAAATACTGAAGTATCAGCATGAGATTTGTATCGATACTGGGTGATGATTGAAGGTGAGTATCCAAAACTGATACTTCACAACTCAGCAATACTCTACTCCATACTGTGTTCTATTTTTATTATCTCAAATGTTTCAGAGTAGTTGATAAATGTTATATACCCCTAATTTTGCCTATAACCCTAAAATAACTTTATGATTGCTGTTTCGGCATCGTTACTAGATTTTGTTTTTCCCACTACTTTTAAAGGCTGAACTCTTATTGGTTTTTAACGTTTTTAACTTACCAGTGAATTTAGTGTTATCAAGGTCGTTTAGAAATGTTTACATTCAGCATCGCTTTAATATTTTGACTGTTGTTAGGACAGAAAATGCTGTCTATCAACGGTCTTGCCTGCTGTTCGTGTCTTCACGTGTCGATAGTGTTGTTGTGGTGGTGGTTGACATTCTCTTTTTAGCATTTTGAATCGATTCGTTTGCGTGTTAGGTTCGTATCGTTCATAGATTCCTAGGTCGCCTTTACCGGTCATGGAAACAAAATATTGTGGAGCCAAACTTCAGGCTTATTTACACCCTTTGGAAAAGGATTCTCTATAAAAATGAAATTCTTTCTAGGGTTGGATGCTCATTAACCTGCCACTTTGTTCATGAATTAATCAATAAAACACTGATAAGATGATATATATATATATATATATATATATATATATATATATATATATATATATATATATATATATATACTAATCCACTCTATAATATTTTAAGGTTAATAAATAAACATTTTCTGATCATTATTAAAGTTATTTTCACTTCTAGACTATTGTAGGCACTAAACGTACCGGGTACTTAGAGGTATATAAGTTTTACTGTGAGACTGAAAAGTAGACCCATATGTATACGAACATTTTCATCTTATGCCTGTACACCGGCTTAGTTAGAGCATAAAGAACTCACCGTTAGTACAACAGCTATTCAACCAAAAAGTAGCATGAATCTCAGTATTTAACATATTCAGTTAAAAACATGAGTGTTATCGTTAACCAAAATATCACTTGGATAATCTTACAAGTCGTGAATCCTCAGTACATGGCTAACAATATTTCTATACCCTGGGTTAGTAACCAATGAATATTTTCTAATGTATACTAATGTAACCCGGTTGTCTATCCTTCCTAATGAGTGAAAACAAAAATCAAAATCCACTAGGCGATCATGTTTTCGTTCATGTAGTAGGCAATTAGGCATATATCTATCGTGTGAGAGCTACTTGGCTACCCAGATGACGGTATATAGAGGCAAAGTCTGAACCTGTGACCCAGTGATTAGTATAGCTTTTCTAGATTACATAATCATCGGCCTCCTCGTCAACATGGTAACTATATGATTCAGAGGAAATATGAACCAAATACAGACGACTTTCGCATGACTAATTAGATCCAACAGACGATTTAACTGTGACCTGTACAATATCTGATTTCAGCATTGAGTAATGAACGTGTATATTTGCAAAAGGTTTCAGATATAGGAGCTGATTCATAGCATGTAACATTAAAAACGGGTTTACATCAACAACAAAAAAACTGCTAAACATGACACTCACTAATGCAGTGTTAGCTGTATTCGAAGCAGAATTCAGTGACGCACAAATATCTCCAGATGATAACGAACCAGATGCTCCACCACCAGCATGTAATGATCCTAGATTCATCAAGGTAGTACAGTTACCGTCTGTACTGCTCAGTAGGCTAGTATTTCCAATAGACTGATTATATGAGCTAGTATTACTGATACCACTTCCACAAACACTACCTGTAACTCTTTTACGCAGTAACCCATTGTTTGTCAAGGCTGATGCTGAGAGTACAGCATTAGATGATGGACCTGAAGAGGAGAATGTAGACGACACCCAAGAATTTGTATCTGTTTCTGTGGAAGTAGCCTCGAAACCAGTTGAAATGTGTTCGGAGAACTCAGAGTCACGAGTTACACTGTCGGCCTAAATATTTGAAGGGGAAAAAAAATAGTAGAATATATAAACGATTATGTGCAGACGATATCAACGATTCCCATGTCGTATATTTTATGATTTACAGTTTAGACATCACAACATTAGTCCAGGACAATTTTTGACGTCTTCTCTAGATGCTAGAAATATATGCATGACGTTCCTAAGTAACACTAATCATAATTAATTACATTGGAACAGGTAAATTCATTCTTTCTACGATATAAAACTCACAAAAACATATCAACTCTTTCTGTCTCTCTTCTGCTGAATATTTTTTCACTCCTTTTGATATACTTTGTTACTGTACCACAGTGTAGTATTTGAACTGATTTACCATATGCGAAGATCCATGATATTCTGTTCATCTGTCTCTCAGGTTCGAAACTCTTTTAACCACTCACATTTTGCTTTGAAAGGCGTGATGAATAATAATGGTAATAACAGAATTCAAGGTCTACATCTATTTTCTAATGCGCATAGAATTTCTCTTTCCTAACTAAGACTCGAATCATATAGGCATTAATCTATGCATGTTAGATGATTATCCCTACATCACTGAGTTACTATAGCCAGTATATTATTCCAGTAAGTTAAAAAATATGCCTCATCTGATGAAAATCTTTCCATATTATTCACTAAGGATGGTTGTAAATGGTATGAAAAACCAATTACATGATTGGGAAAAAGAGAAATTTGACAAGTATTAACTAATCAGCTGAAATATCAGTAACAAGAAATTATTTGAGATTTGAACCAAATCAATACCTAAACAATACGATCCTTGAATTTAGCCAATTCGTAGATACAAAGCAGGAAGTATACAATATCTTACATACAAACTATCAGTCAGAGACTATATGTATGAATGTTTATCTGAACAGACTGTAGTTTTTTCTGTTCCAGCTTTTATTGTACTCAACATAGAAAGGTGAGGTGGGTTGATGGCTAGGTATGTGTAGAGCACGTTTCAACCTTTGAGGGTTAATGGAATGTTCTCTCTATACTATAAATTCCACCATATTTCAAAAGTAAAATGAACTTTCTAAAATCTGTTCATTAACAACCTATTAGACGAATTCAATACTCAGCTACCTTGTGCATATATGTGCAGTAAGCAATGAACCATAGCTATTGTGTGAGGGCTAGTGATACTACTTGGCAGTTCAAACTTCGGTAGGTGGAACAGAGCTCGAACCCGTGACCCAATGGTTCATAGTCATTTTTTTAAACTACTGAAACATAGATCCACTAATATATCAACAAGATTATATGATTCATTGCATATTGCTAGAACAATCGTATTTGTATAGTTCAAAGTAAATAAAATATCTTAGCGTACCATATTAATTCATAAAAAGACAATAGAGGTAGAAAATGTCACCTCTAAAAACATATATCTTTGATGAAGATGGAAAAAATGACCACAATGAACATCCCTAGTAGAATAAACCTTGATCTAACCATTTCAAAAGATGATTCCCTATAAACTCTGGTACAAGTAGAAGTGCTCAAGTAAACAGTATTTATTAGAAGTGTGGTATCTCTTTACACGTAACTTCATCCATCATCAATCAACTAACTGAAATAACATTATCACATCAAGCTAGAGCTTTATAATAAAAAAAAACAGGTATTGGAAATAAATTTATCAAAAATCCAAGCTGAAGACTAAATGTAGGCACAAAAAAACAAACCAACAATCTTATTTCATGATCATTTACGTCCTTCATCATCACCTATGTGATAGAATGTCTTCAAAGAGTGGAGAATACCTGTAGATCATGGTATGAATTTTCAAGCAGGTAAATTTAATGATGGTCTAGTTAATATTTATAGTCTAAATTACCAATTTTGACTGCATGGTATTGTCCAATTAGTAAGAAAATTCAAGTGCATATAACTTTTTTCACATAGTTAAGAAACTCTTTAATGTTCTAATTTTGGTTTCACTAGTTTATTTTGTTCGTGAATTTAAGTGGGCTCTACAGAAATATTTTCCCATATGACTTTATAACAGATATAAGTAATCTTGTAATTTGCTTAGTAGTGGTTAGTAGTGGGATCCAGGACAAGAGTTTTGTTCCATGTATGATTCGTCAGGTGGGTGTGTCTACATCTCAAAGAACTATGATGTTCCCATAAAACCCCCTCCCCGCGCTCCAAACAACAGAATATTATCTACTAAACTGCTGTGCATCCGGTATCACCTATCATCTGTTTATACTTCCAATATCCCATTGTTTTACTGAACAGAACTGACTCTATTCGCAAATGGGTTCAATACTTTCTGAAGATTGATTGTGTCGCACAAAGGCCAACAGATACCAAACAATTCGATTCAAAACAGCAAAAAAGAATATCATGAGTATCACCAGATATAGCTTATTATTATTACTATTCCCTTGGGTTCCTAGTGGAATATAAGGCTTCAGTAGCACATCTCCATTGCACTCTGTTCTCTGCTATCTTTTCAACCTGACACCACGAGTGAGCACAAGCTTTCATTTCTTCCTCACATGATCTCCTCCATATCACCCTCACCTGACACGCCCAACTCGTCGTTTCCCCTTTGGATTCCACTCGAAAACCTGGCCTGGCCTGGCCTGACGAGTGATGTCCCCAGTCTGTCTACTCAGTGTATGCCCAATCCATCTCCACTTTCTCCTTCTGCATATTTGTCGGGTGATAGGTTGTTGGTTGGTTAGTCCCCAGAGTTGTTTGTCGCTCATTCTTTCTGGCAAAAGAATATTATGAGTATCAACAGATATAGCTTAATATCTGATGTCAACAATTTGTGAAACTATCAAACCAAATCTTGGCAAGGATTTATACGACTTGATAATAGTTCACATTCGTAATCTTCATCGTACGGTGTATAAACAACGTTCATCAAAAAAACTTACTGCAATAACACTAGTAACACATATGTTCAACTGTACTGGAAACTAACACTCCAACTAATCCGTTGGTCATATACCAAACTGTTTGTAACAATATTAGATTGAAGCATGAGGCAAACTAACACTTCGGAAATATTTTATATCTCATCGGCTATAAATGATTACAAATACCTTTTTAATTGACCCTACACAGTCTTTAGTCATCAAACACTTCTGAAGTATTCGAAATTCAAAATCAATTTTCTACCAAAAACGATCGTGTATCTACCTCAATTCTGATTGGTTGCTTTCAGCGATACCATGGTTCATACAATTCAGAAGTATAAGGAAGACAAAAATATACTCACCAATGATATAAGCTTTTGTAAATCTTGTTTTTTACGTTCTCTTTCTTTACGTCTAGTCTCTATCTTACGCAACTCCATTACCAAGCGTTGTTCCTCTTCCACCTGATCTCTTGTACGTCCGTACAATAAGCTTAACTGCTGTTTACGCCGACGTTCATGAGCTGCATCATAGCGTAAACCTTGTGAAAGATTAGTTCCACGCGCCTTCATTGTATGTTTAAAAAAGGATAGGAAATACAATGAGGTGTAATATGAACAAACTAAATAAACATATAAATACAAATCAGTGGGTTGGAGAGATGTTTCTTTCATCAGATAATAAAACTGACCTGCAATCGCTACAAGCTAGCTGATAACAGTTGAGTAAATCAACTAGTCGTAAACAATTAAAACTTGGTAATTAGGGCGCTTCAACAAGAAGAAAGACAAAAGAATATGAAAATGATGTATGGTGCTTGCATCATGATCCCAACACACATCAGCAGCTTTGCGAAGATAACTGTGATCAGAAACTTATAACCTCTACGTATATTCTATCCTCAAAGGATGCGTTTAAATCTATACAATAGGATAGAGTGGCCTTTGATATTCGAAATGGAATCTTGTCAGCCACGAACCCACTTGAAATGATACAATTTCTTAAGTAATTGAAGTGATCTATGCATTCCACCACCTTACTCCTTATCCTTACACTAGTAGACGGTGATAGACCAACTCTGAAGCACCATCTTACATTTGACGGGTAAACACCTTGCCAAACATACTGAAATCCCGACTTGAGGTTTTCAGAAGAGTGCACTTTGTCACCGTCTTCCCCAAACAGGACTATATTCTAGATGCACGCAAGGATATAAGTCAATCCATGAGAAGATGGAGGTACCCTAGAGTTATGTCCATTAGCAGATATACTACAAAGCTGAACAGGAATGGCATTAGTGAACATAATTATTCAACACTACTGTTGATCATTGATTCAGATAACAACTCTGTGTAGGCCTTCAAACAGTTGCCTTTACTGGCACAATGTACCTGCTTGGTACTTACAGTCAGGCACTGTCACAAACCTTCTCAGTAGACAGAGTTCAACGTCGCCTTCAGGTCAAGAAATATGGCGAATGTAGGACGCAGATAAGTATACCCGTGCTCCGAAACCTATCGAAAAGTGAAAATTTAATCAATATACTTTCACCTAGGTCTTAGACCTCTCTAGTTTTCTAGTAGTATTTTATTTTCGTGAACGCAATTTTAGTCAAACCGATCCTTACGACTTCTATCACATCAAATTCATAGTTACAGTGAAACGTAGTTCCATCTATAATCTAAGCATATTTCTGATGACGAGAACTCCCAGCTGCATAGAAGAAGACAAAAATCTTAAAAATAATGAAATTCGTCTTATTCAACCAATAATCCTTCACTCACCTTGTCCAATTGAGTTAGAATTCCATAATATCGTTCTTTAAGATCTTCAATAGATGGCCGGCCAGGGAACTGCTCACAATCCCATCTATCTCTCATATGAATAAAGCGTAAATCAAAGCGTTTGGCTAGCTCCATCAAATGAGCTGTGCGTTCCTCACTCCATTTTGGATCTTTCAGCATTGTTTCATATTCTTCTAAAGTGTATTCAGGAACTGTGACATGCTAATCAAGAAGAATTCAATCGATAGAGAAAAATGAAACTAGCAAAGTTTTACCTAGTATTTATTTTAGCACTGAGCAAAGCTTTCTTCAAAACATCATGAAAAGAGAAATTCAACGGCTTTATAACAAAAGCATTGTATTTAGCTGCTCTTGTCATCGAATTATCATCATTTTAAATTGCAGTGATAAATAAGATCTAGATAAAAAGTAACCGTAATGAAGTGTCAATTAGATGCGTGTCTTTTCTTCATACAACACTCAGAAACACTTCCTCGATAGTTAAAATTGAAGCGAGAATTAATTAACTAGAAGAGCAGTAAGTCGATTACATGAAGACAAATAGTTAGTATAACAACATGATCTAAGATATTTTTTCTGAAGTCAAAATCGTTCAAATATAATTTTGTAATTGTCTAAAACGATGCAGGATACCTATATAGTAATAAATAATCTGAAACAGAAGTTAACTCTTGAAGACTAAAAGGTTGACAAAAATGTTATAACCCTGAGAAGATTATGTATCAGCGAATTACTTCCCTAATGAAATTAACTTATAAAAGTGAATAACTTTCAGATTTATTGACATACTTCTTACTCTCTGTTGTTTTATTGGATCGAATTGTTCAACCTCTATTGGCATATAGGCTCCTATGCGAATGCCTCAGTATTGCCTGAATTTTAATTATGATAATTTGGTTGGTTGTGGCTAGCAGAAGAATCGAGGAAGCGCGTTTCGTCCTATTTGGGACTCATCAGTTGGATATACCTACATCCCAGTGATGTTGTTCCCATTGACACTCGAACCTCGTACTCATCGCTTCAAACGTCAAGGCGTTATCCACCATGCCACAGAGGAACGATAGCCATTTCTTCGAGTGTCAGTGAAAACAACATCCAGCTGACGAGTCCTAAGTAGGGCGAAACGCGCGTCCTGGATTCTTCTGCTAGCCACAACCAACCAAATTATCATAATTTTCAGATTGTTTGCAGTTTTTTAGGTTGAATAATTTATGAGATACAGTTGATGACTGTTTCGATTAATCCTTAACCAATTTAAACATCATATACTGAAAGTGGTATTTTCTTTGTCCCGTAACCGCGATCTGATGTTTTTGATGGAGTTAAACGACCTCCCCTCTGTACTATTCAGGACCAGTAAAATCTTGTAGATTTTTCGATATATATCAATGTGATGATGCCTGTAAACTGGCTTCTCTCATGTTAAACTACTAATGTGAGAATACAAATTTATTATTTGAGTAAATAACCTCTAACCCTAAAAACCAAACACTTTTTAGAAAATATAATCTAAAATGTTGTAATTTACTTGATGTTGGCTAGCAATGGAATTCAAAAGACACGTTTTGTCTTATTTAAGACTCGTTAGATGAATGCATCTGCCCTCCAGTGAATGATACAATTCCCACTGAGACTCGAACTCAGTGGAACAATAAGGAATTGCAAGCAACAACTAATAATATGACTTAAATCCTTCCAATTCCCTCTAACTAACATATTTTTGTATTCGACCATTGAAAACCATAGGAAAGTCTGTGTACATGAGTACTGATTTCGGTGCTGATCTAAGTGTTAGAGGAAAATACACAAACTTTGACTACACATGATACCATCATAAAGTGAAACTGTGCATTGTGCCTGATAGAGTATGCTTAGATACACTGAAACCCGTTGATAAATAGCTTAGGAAATCTTCATGCTAAACATTTACTGGCTAATACACTTCACCAATACTAGAATTAGCGGAGGAAAACCCAGGGTCAATGAAGAAAGCAGAGCAATCGTGTCTAGCTAACATCTGCCGGTGTATCTCAGTTTTATGTTTGCGATTTAAAAGATTATGCGATGTAGGTTTCCATAAAAATGATATCAGATGTGAAATAGACCCAACTTCAGTCTCGACGACCGGAAAGTATCACAAGTCCCATAACAACTGGTATGAGGCTCATAGCCTAATACATAAACCTGAATCGGGTTGAATTACATTTATTTTACATTTTACATTTATTTCGTCGGTCACTGACCCAACAGGGATGATCCGACTTCCCAGGTAAATGAAGTGGTCAACACACTCAACCACTACACTATCTACTGTTTGCTGGGGCACCGTTGAAGACCAGTCCTAGATCAATAATCCGCATTCGGGTGGCAAGTAACTCATTCCAAACATTCTTAAATTACCACTGTGTCCAGAAGACTCTGTATGTTGTCAGCATCTTCACCTAATAAAACTATGTCATCTGCGTATTCTAGGTCTACCAAAAATTTTTCTGTGATTAGGTCAATCCCCGTGTGGTCAGATGACTAGAGGGAGACCTCTATAAGAACGTCTGTGATAAAATTGAATAAGAAGGGAGAGAGTGGGTATTCCTGACGGACAACACTCGATGTACGCAGCTCACCCGACATCTCTCCACAGGCTCTAATCTACCCCCCCCCCCTCCTACAGGTATCAGAGTAAAGAGCCTTCAACAGGGTGCTGTCTTATTTGGTACCCCTTTTAGTAAGAGAAATTGTCATAAGACGTCTCGATCGATGGAGTCGAATGCCGCCTTCAGGCCGAGAAATGCAGCTATTACAGGACGTCAGTAAGCGTGCCTGTGTTCTAGAACCTGACGGAGCGTGAATATTTGGTCGACACACCAGCGGCTGGGTCTAAAGCCTTCCTGGTTTTCTCGCGCTTCCTGTTCCCGAGCTCCACTTAGGTGTCTAATAACCATTGAACCTAGAATCTTAGGCACTATGTTCGTCAGGCTGATCCCTCCGTGGTTATCACAAGAGGAATTCTCACCTTTTTTAAGGACTGGGATAACCAGCGATTAAGACAACTTAGAGGGGATCATATTTGACTTCTATGCACTAGTTAACACTTCAGTTAACTTGACTAAAAACACTACCACCGTGTTTAAGTACCTCTGGAAATAATCAGTCTGGTCCTGCTGCCTTTCGTCTTTTTCAAGTTACCTACAGCTTTTACGACTTCTGCAAGTGTTGGGGGGGGGGGGCTATCTCAATGTTTCATACAGGATTCGACTGGATAGCAGGCAACACTGGTGGCTGGAGGCCAGTTAAATGTTCTACCCATCGTCCCAGTCGTCTCCCCTGCGAGTGAACCGCAGACCCATCCTTCTCCTCTATGCTCTTTCTAACCGCTGTCGACCTTTTTCCCCCAGTTTCCTTAATAAGTTTAAATAACTGTCTACTGTTACCAATCGTCGCTGCCTTTTTCATCTCTTTAGCCTTCATTGACCACACTGCTCGCGGTGATTGTGTAGACTTTTTCTCAATGTATTTTTAAGTTGAGCTCGCTCTTCGTTGTACTCAGAACCTGCATGGATGCGTTCAAGTGCATCCATTAGTTCGAAAGAAGCTGCTGATATCCGCTGGCTCTTTTTAACCTCTCTCTGAGGGTCGGCTAGAGTCCTGAATGCTGCTTTTACAGCAGACTGGAGATGACACTAAGCTTCTTTTTTGAACGCATCCATTCTAATGTTTCGGTTAGGAATCTACCCGATATCTTCTTAATGCTGTTCTATTTTTGGTATACACAGCATTTTGTGATGCATAGCGTCATACCTAGTTTCTATTTATAAGGCTAAAACAATGGGTAATAGTTGTTCTTGATGGCCAACTAATAATAATATTTCATTAGGTTTGTGCAGGACCAGACGGAATACCGCCAGAAGCACTGAGAACAGATGCAGAGACAACAGCGGACATGCTCACACCACTATTGCAGAAGGTGTGGAAGGAAGAGAAGGTACCTGCCTGTTGATTGGAAGAAGGGTTACCTTGTCAAACTGCCGAAGAAAGGAGACCTCAGTGTTGCAAGAACTGGCGCGGAATCACTCTCCTGTCCACCCTAGTAAAATATTAAGCCGCATCATCCTGGATAGGCTAAAGGATGCACTGGATTCAAAACTACGACCGGAACAGGCAGGATGGTGTCAGGAAGTACAAATCATGTGCAGACCAAATTGCAACGCTTCGCATCATCATAGAACAGAGCATAGAATGGCAATCAGCTCTCTACCTCAACTTCATCAACTTTGAGAAGGCCTTTGACAGCGTCGACCGAGAAGTAATTTGGAAACTGCTTCACTACTACGGAGTACCGCAAACCTTTATCCGCCTCATTCAACAACTACATGAAGATGCCACATGCCAAGTAATCCACAATGGGAAGCTCAGTGATGCCTTTGAAGTGAAGACAGGAGTGAAACAAGGTTGCCACCTACTATCACCCATGATATTCCTTATTGTGGTGGACTGGATCATGCAGCAAACAGTAGGCAGCGAGAAGAGGGGGATACACTGGCTGGACTGCGGAAAAGAACCTAGAAGACTTGGATTTCGCCAACGATGACTTGTGCCTAATGTCACATAAACTTGAAGATCTGCAGGCAAAAACTAACAAGTTGATAGAAGAGGCAGCTAAGATGGGACTTCAAGTGAATATAGAGAAGACAGAGGTGATGAAGATACCGCACCACCACCATCAACCAACAACAAACTCCAGTCACCATCAATGGGAGAAACTTAAAGGAAGTAACCTCCTTCACTTATCTAGGAAGCACTGTTTCAACTACAGGTGGGACAGACGAGGACGTCAAAGTCAGCCAGGATCGGAAAAGCAAGACAGGCGTTCATTAGCCTGAAACCAGTGTGGAGATCTTCTGCACTCAGCATGCGGAACAAGATACGGATTTTCAACACCAACGTCAAGTCAGTGCTTCTGTATGCCTCAGAGACTTGGCGCGTTACGAAAGGGGTTTCCAACAAACTACAGACATTCATCAACAACTGCTTACGTTGGCTCGCTACTGAAGATCAGATGGATTGCCAGAAAGAATCAGCAACAAGGAGCTCTGGGAAAGAACCAACCAAGAACCTATCACCCAACAAATATGCAGGAGGAAGTGGAGATGGATTGGGCATGCACTGAGAAGGCCGACTGAGGACATCACGCGTCAGGCCAGTTGCTCGAGTGGAATCCCCATGGGAAGCGACGAGTTGGACTCCCGAGGGTGACATGGAGGAGGTCGTGCGAGGAGGAAATGAGAGCTTGTGGGCTGTCGTGGAACCAGTTCAAAAGATCTCAGAGAACAGAATTCACTGGAGACGTGCTACTGAAGCCCTATGTTCCACTAGGAACCCAAGGGACTAATAATAATAATTAGGTTGGTGAGGATTCATTATTTTCAAATTTGTAGTTATCATGGACCTGGGAGTACTGGACAGCTGTTTCATCCTAGTATGGGACCATATGTAAGTGAGAGCACCCATGACCCCATGACCAAATGACTTAATGGTTAACGTTCTTCCCGCGAGACTTGAAGGTACTGGGTTCGATTTCAGGTGAGGTCATGGGTGAATACTGACCTGAAATTAACAATATTCTGATTCATTCTTTTCACCTCCCTATCATCAATTAACTAAACTTTCGTAAAGGATAGAAGTACGACTCAGTGGATCATCGGTTCGAACCTTCATCATCTTAACTAGCATTTGGACCTATGAAAGTGTCACTGATTGCTGAATCAGATTAGTATCTTCTTTATTTCTTCAATAAACAGTGGAGTGAGTGAAAAGCTTTTCAGAAAAAATAGTAAAAGATATACAATGACAGTTACTTACCTTATTATATCGTGCAAAGTAATAATCCTTATTGGCATCTGGATCAGAACTTTCTCGCCTCCAATGATATAACACTAAATTGTCCTAATTACAAAAAAAATTTTTTTTAAACAAGAGGAGTGTAAGTAACACATTGAATTAGTGAGTGAAAATCCAACATCATAATCAGCTGAAAATGAAGTTAACAGCGGGAAAAAACTCACTCATCATCAAGATCAACATGGGGCCAGGCATTACTGAGTAACAGTCCAAGTCGCCTCACCTCATATCAGCACATCAAGTAACAAAGCAGTAAAATGGAAGGTGAAGAAAGAAAGAAGAATCGGTCAAAAGAAATAAAAGCAGAAAGTAGTAAGAGAGAAGAAGCAGGAATGAGATGATAAGACTACGTATAACTGCTAAGGTGAGGATAATGTGTGTATACATCTGCGCCACTGACGTCGGTTCTCACCCGTATCACATAGAGTCTCCAACCACTGATTACTCTTGTCCCACAGACCCCAACCGGGCAGTCTGCATCGTCCTACATGGCTCAAACAATCAAAGATTTCATGCAGTGATGCAGTGTTGTAGTCCGGTCACCCTGAGCCTTTTTACAACCTCAACCAGCTTCAGCCAACATTGTACGACGAAGCAGACGGTCGTTAATCATACAGAACAAACATACCAGTCATCTCTCAGTCGATGAAGGTTTACAACCACATCAACTGTTTTACCTCTCCTGCCTAAAACTCTACACCTGACTTCTACGTTACTCACATGATGACACCACGGAATACGGCCTATACTACGAAGGCAGCAGTGGTCAAACACTTGAAGCCTTCTCATGTCTTCCACCTTCAATGGCCATGTTTCACACCCATACAGCAGAACACAGCAGACTGCTCTGCGTGCAGTACACGCGACCTTTAATAGACAATAGGATATCACGGCGGTGCCATAGATGGCGTAAGTTGGCAAAAGCAAACCAAGCCTTTTGTATTCGTGCATAGATTTCATCGGCCACTGAGCCACCAGGGTTGATCCTACTTCCCAGGCAAGTGAAGTGGTAGACACACTCAACCACTACGCTCTCTATTGTTAGCCAAGGCATCGTTGAAGACCAATCCTGGAGCAACGATTTGCACTTGGATGACGATAGACGTATCACAAACATTCTAAACTTGCTACTCAAGGTGTCCAGAACACTCTGCATCTTGTCCGCGTTTTCACTTAACAGAACTATTTCATCTGCGTATTCTAGGTCCACCATAGCTATCAAACACTTTAAAAGTTGACGACTTCCTTCATTTCATGACTCTACTTTATACTTTTTAATTTTATGGTGATACTTGTCTGTAAAACTAAACCAAAATCCTAATTAAACAACCGTGTGAATAACACTTCACTGTTGTTTAGAGGATGAACGAAATCTCTGCACTTCTAATAGGAAGTTGTCATCGTTTGCTCAAACTGGAAACTTCTATCAACGGGATCGTTTGTGAAAGACTTGAAGGTTATACGCTTCCAGTCTACTCTATATCCAATTGTAGATTTACCTGAAGGCATGAAAAGCTGAAATGTTGGGAAATATTAGAACAAAACACCAATAAGTACACGAATTCCAATCCCTGATTATTTTTCCATTTGACACATCATCGACGGTAGATGCGTTGCATATTTCATTAGAAGAGTGCAGATGGCTTCTTAGTTGTTGTCTCTCATATGTTGGCACTATTTTTACACAGAAAATTTTATAATCTTCACCGATCTCTGATCGTTATTCAATGGAATGTATCAATTTTAATTAATGATAAGAAACTAAAGTCATACAGTGTATATGGTAACCAAATGAATACAGACTATTGTTACTACTAATCCTCAATTCAGTTTGCCCCTTTTTGGAACTTATAGGGAATCGAATAAATCCAGTGAATTTATACACGTCCTCTCTTCAAAACTGAAGCTTAAAATTGTGAGGGTTTTAACAGTGGTCTGAGTAAGTTGACAGTAACAGCATAAGATATCAGTTTAAGCTGAGGATCGCGTACATTCTTACACAGAACTGAACACATTTATCTGACAGTCTTATTATCTAGCACAGAAAGATAACATCAAGAGACGAAAGTTACATAATAAGAAAGCAAAGTGAGACTTACTTGTCTAGCAGAATTTGTGAAAGGTATCCATTGCCATGGGCGAACCCGCCCTACTCCAATCACAGCTTTTGGTTGTTTGTAAAGCGGTGTATTATCAGTTGGCATGATTGGAGGAAGATCACTTAAGACGGAGAGAGGAAGAAATGATGTATAAAGAAAGATATTGAAATATATAGTTCTAAGTGGTTCTGAGTGACAACTTTAATAAAATAGTTAAATTTCTCAACGCCTAGTATTAAAAGCTTTATAATACGCAGCACATAGGAGAATTGCAATATGTAATACGTAGCTACAATGCCAGAAGTTTATAGATAATTGGCTAATGCGAATTGGGCTCTAGCTGATGGGAGACAGTCATAAAAAGCGTCTGCCAATTCAAAGCACCTTCAAATTCCAACCTATATCTGCTGCTTTCGTAAACAGGTGTCACCAGTGATCCTCAAAAATCAGATGGCATTTAAGGGCCCGCATATTTGCAAATGCTTTCTATTCACGAGTTTAAAACAACAACAAAAAATAAAGTTACAGGACATCCTGCTGGTTTTCTTGAACCATTTTACACCAACATGTTGTAGTGTTTTTCATTTAAGCGACAGAAAGGTTGATGTAAGATAACCTACTACCCAAATACGGTTTTGTGTACTAGACTATGAAACACACCTATTGTATGGGAGGTAGTATACTACTTAGCTATCCGATAAACAGATATAAACTCGCATAAAATGCATCGGTTTAAAAGGAAATCAAAAGAAATGAAAAGTTATTAGAATAGAGATTAACACGGATAAAGGTAAACAATACGCATACAGTGGTAGGATAAGTTTGTTATATTCACTTGCCAACAAAACTCGACTAGTACTGAGAAGCAGTTTATGACAATAGTTTTCATCTAACAGTTATATTCAATGTAATATAATTTCAATACATATCAGATAAAAATCAGTTATTGAGTACATGTTAATTCATATCATGTTTGTTTTCAAAAAACGACCAAGTTACTTTGCCTCCCTTAAGACTATACAGAAGGAAAGAATCTTAATTAGGCATCTCTCATTTCTGGCTGTTTTACTTTGCCAAAATATCAAGTATTGAATCAAATTTCAAATGACTAGAAACTAGTAATAGAATAATGTGATATAAGGATACTTTAGGTACTTTTCTTCTTCCCATCAGTTGTAGAAACCCGGGTAACCAGTGGTCTTCACAAAGAGAATGGCTTTAAGTTTAATATATGAACCTTTGTGTGAATACAAAACAAGGTTTTATCAACGTTAAAAAACGTTTCTCAAGAAGAATAAACAAGTAAAAACAAAAAAGTTGGTGAAAGGAAAGGCAACTGGAGCAAGAAACATTAACGAAATCAAGTGTAAAATATCATGGGTTTAACAGAATTAAACACTTGGTGAATGAATGTTCCATGTGTGTGATTTAAGTTTTGTAAGTATAAATTTCTTGTACATTAGAGTATGTTTAAAAATCTACCAAAATGATAGATTGGAAACAAATAGGATTGTGGACTATGACTAAATATTTATCCTATTGAATAGCATACTACATATATTCCCATTGATAGTTGTGTCAAAAGACTTGCCAGACTGGAATGTTTCCGAAGAAAAACTTGATGATAGGATTGGATTGAGTAACTACACTGGACTATGAGAGCAGTTAGAGGAGGTCTGTCTCATGAGCTTATCCATGACTTTCAACTAACAGGTCTAAGGTTTGAACTTAGTTACACCTATTCTGATCTGGGTAACCAGATAGCCCCCCACATAATAGTGTAACTGATAACCAGTATGTAAATACTTGCATTAAGTTGACTTGCATTACACCGCATGAGAACGATTGACATGAACTGTGAAATTCTTAAATAACACATAGATCGTTCAAGTCATGCACTATAAACAATGGTTATGCATATCTGTGGTTAGGACGAAATTAATTTCGATCCTTTCTACATAGGGAGGATATACAAAACGTCAGAAAGATGCCAACCATAAACACATGAGGTAAACTACCTTCGCTGGTCTCAAACTTAATAACCATAAGACACTAACTTGTAGCAAATCATACGAAACATGCAATCAATAAGTGAGTGTATATTTATTTTCAACGCAATTTCATTGCCAAATGATCACCGAAACGACCTTTGAAAGCTTAACGGTTGATGAGTGTTGTTTTACTACAAGAACTTATCACTATTTGCTCTCACGTAAACAGATATAAAAACAAACTTAGATCCACTGCACTTCACAGTGAATAAACCATCTCTGAACAAAAGCGATGATATTTGACAATAATTACCTGAAACTTCGGTTAGCTTGAGATAAAACTTTAATTTTGTTACCATAAAGATTATTCTATAGAGAACTACTTCAATACAAGATAATGATACAGAACTATCAAATCTAACTTGATTTGAAAGACCTATAAATCCAACCCAAGCAACTAGTTTGTACATGAAATCCAACTGTCTGCTAAATCAAAGAACTTCTAAATCTTTCCGATGGATAGGCCACAGAGTCTGAGTTTCTTTGTACGGCAGTTTTATTTCACGTAGTTAGTTTCCAACAATCTGTACGAAAGTCAAACAACACTTCTATATCAGGATGAAAAACGATCTAAGTATACAGCAATAAGTAGGATTAGATGGCAGGAAACTAACGTTAACCAGAACAATATATAACACTAATTCACGTAATTTATGACAGTTAGTTGCAGTTATTTAGGTCTATCCGCTAGGATCTATAACATAGTGTGAATCGATGGTTGCAGACTTAATGAGCTATTGCTCAAAATCAACCTCAATGACAAGGATTATGCACAACATATCTTCATTTAAAGCATAAAGTGTCATCCTCTTAGTCATTCTATTTCCTCCTCTCTCTCTCTCTCCCTCTCTCTCTCTCTCTCTCTCTCTCTCCTCATCTTATGACGTTTGATGACTGCTGACATTATTTGCATTATCTTATCTTCCCACTTGTTGACTTCCACTTCGGTGTAGTGTGATAACCTTGGTCAGCATAAATTAATGTCAGGCCCTAGGTAGTCTCGGTCCGTTTGTTTATTTAATATTTAAACGACAATTTACTTGAGACAATAATTTCGAATGAGGATTTAAGGGTTTGATCATTTTTCACATGGAGATAGGTAGTTCTATGGTCAAATAAACAAACATCAAATGAACAAAACTCGACATTTCATCCATCATTTCATTTGAGTCTAAACTTAGTAATAAACATTTAACCATTTGTTTATAATCTTTAGACTCACTTGCTATTAAGAGTGCTGTGTAAGCCCCAAACTTCCCGAGGAACATGCTCAGGTCGTTTTGGTTGTGGATTAGGACGAGATGATTTTCGCTACATATTTCATATTATACAAAAACAAAGAAAAATGGATTTACTTTGTCTGCGCGTGTAAGCAATGCTTCTTTATCCAACACAGACTTCTTCGTACTAGATTCATTGAAATCGAGTATATCCAAAACGTCTATTGCAGCACTCATTATTTTATGAAATGTAGGATAGCTGAAAAATGATTTTTTAAAAGTTTTTTTCTGAATATATATACATAAATCTTGGTCATATCAAGTCTAATTTTTATCTCCCCAACTATACATTTAATTCAGAAAAATGAGACTGAAAAAGTCACAGAAATAAATGAAACCAGAACAATATGTCTAGCGCAAGAGTATGGATCCATTTATTCGCAGTTTCTCATACAGCCTAAAACGACTTTAACATAAAACTACATAAATACTTGCATACTTGAAACAATATGATAGAAAATTGTTGCCTTGAAATAAAAAATAGTCGTCTAATTCCTCTATATATTGTCAAACTTAATATTAGTCCTAAACATTTATTCACTCAATTCGTATTTCTTTAATTGCACCATATCGATGATAACTTTAATTCAAGTCGACAATTTTCTATCAAATTGTTTTAAGTATGCAAAAGTTTATCGGAATAAATGTTGGAATTGTTTTAGGTTGTAAGCAGCTGGTGGAAACATTGAAATAAAATGGGTACATGCTATTCCACAAAAACTGTTGTTCTCACTTTATTTAAATTCGTGAACGGAAAGAATTGCATAAGTTTTTTTTGCTACATACTTAATTTTCATAATTAAAGCGAAAAGTGTGACGTGAAAGAATGGAAGTAAAAAGAAATGCACTACATACTCAGTGGTACGCTCCAGTTGTGGTAAGTCACTTATAATGTTCTCCGTTTGTCTTGAGTGAGAATGTTAGAATGGTAGCTAAGTGTGAAAAGTATGGCTGGTTACTTCTAGTCCCAGGACTGTAAAGCTAAACCAGCTAAGATATTTTTTCTTCAAATATCTATGTGTAACAAAAGCACCAAATAATAAAATTGGTTGTAAAGTTCTGAGCCATTAGTTTTGGTACCTGAATTTTAACCCAGAATTAGATCCAACGTCGTTTACTTAAGTTTCAGTAACTAAATCGTATTGCTTCCGTTTGTACGTAAAAAGGACTCACATTGTAGTACAAGAACCCAGAAGTTAGTAATCGTTTGAGTTCCTTGTAAATACATTCGACGAGGAGTGATAACGCCGACGGTATACGCTGAAGATAATGTCACATTTGCACCATGAAAATGACAAATAAAGCGTCGCTTTAGGAACATCTCAGCGTTAAGAAAATCGGAAGTCGAGATGCACTTGGTAATCATGGGCAGATTTGTGTAGCAGACAATGAGCCACACCAATTGTATCGGGGCTAATGAAACTACCCGGTGGCTCACAACCCAGTAAGGGGGACAGGGTTCGAGCCTATGACTCATCAGTTGGTCAAGTGCCTAGACTAGTAAGCTGCAGCCCGACCACTAAATGCTGAGGTATCTGTGAGCTTCTTGAAAATCGATGCTCCACTGCCACAAACAGCGACCACAATGGTTAGGATAAGTCTTTCATGAGACATCAACCAGCAGTCAAATAAGGACGGTGAGGCTTTGCGAGCAAGAAGTATGAGCCAGAGGGAAGAAGCAGCTGCATTTAGTAATAATCAGGGACTGTTCCGGCCCATCCGAGCCACCTGCAGCAGCAAACCTGATGTTAGTGAAACGGTCTGGGAAGTAGAATGTACGAGGGTCACTAACCTTCATAAATACGTTGGATGCCTGGTTGAGCACTATGAAATGCAATCTAGCTCGCCTACTGCTTCAGTAACATCGGCTTCAGTGCCTTGTACTCCACGGTCAGTTAAGGACCCACAAAATGAAGCAGAGGCTCATCAAGAACTTCAAGTGCTAAAGTGCCATGAGGTATCCAACCTAGAAAACTTGCTCTCAGCTGCTTTTGAAGATGGAAGTGACACTGTAGTTAAGGCTCTGGCATTAAAGAGGACATGGCAGACGAGGACCATTTATTCATCCGGGGTAAATTCAATTTTATATCCACGTGTCTCACACTCTGACTTGCAAGCCAAGCATTACACATGATACATGGCACGGGACTCTTTAACACTCAATTTTGCCTAGAATGTCCAGTATAACCCCCGCAAAAGGTGGCTGGACGATGAGCTCCAGCAACTCCAAGCACTGGATTCGATACACCAACCAAACTATGTTGGATTTAAAAGCTTTCGCAAAAAATTGTGTAAACAGAATAGGCCCACGTTAGCTCAATCGATTGAGCAATGGGTTGCAAACAGTTGGAAGAAGGTATGCAATAGGTGACCAACGTATGGACATATATATCACTATAGGAAGCATACGCCCAGAACCAAACAGGTAAAAAGTATCGATCAAACGCAGTGTCATTCTTTTTAGTGTGAGCCAATTGTTTCCGAACGTAGGATCAAACAGCGAGAAGACATAAATTAATGGTAATGTATGTTCTTTATTCCAAACTACAATATTTTTTATAGTGCAGAATACTCAGCATGTAATATTGTATAAGCCTATCCAATGTACAATTTTTTTCAAACATACATTAGAAATGGTGCTGTTTAACAATGCATAATAAGGATCAGCAACCAGCTATCGTGGACCCAAATAAATTTAGGGTTAAATGAAGCATTTTTACTTTTCGTTTTCCCTGTGTCTTCGCTGTACAGATGGCTCTGCATGATACTGACTTGACTATCCTGGTCTTAGTATTTCAAGGTAAATTTTGGAGTGGAGTGCGTAATTCCGGATATGTTTGAATTTCTCTCTTCTGAGAAATTATCGGGAGAATATGAACAATTTCACCTAACCTATGGGGGTCCTGCAGAAGCATGGATGATTTTGAAAGAATACTGTCGCAAAACGCAGTTACTGAGATTTTAGGGAAACAAACAGAATATCGAAAACATAATGACCAATTGTCGTACCACCCGAAATATTCTCTTTTTCATGACGAGAGAGGTTAACTGGGTTCAGTCACGTGAAGAGTGAATCTGGCTAGACTCACATCTTAAGATCAGATACAAGTAAATTGCGAAATGCAAGCCGTTGGGGATAAAAACTCCAGAAGACACCACAATTAAACTTCTAACATCAAGTAGTAATATGTGTTACCAACAATGTGAGTAAAAAGACAAGATCTCAAGGATATTGAGGCATTTTGAGTTAAACTGAAGTGAGGCTGAAAGTTATCCCGAAGTGTTATCGTCCTTCTTTAAGATAAAGCCTTCTGTGCACAAGTTCGAGCACCCTTTGTATGCTGTATACATGCCGAACCTATTTTTACAGTTTTTAAAAACGCCCTCTCACTGAATCATGTTTCATGCCGTTTATTCATACGCAAAGTACTAGTCGCACTTCTATTAGGGTAAGTACATTTATTTATCAATAACAGTGCTCATAAATCAAAGCAAGTTAATGAGTTTTTAAATTACAACAAAAAAGATTTGCGATTGCAGTCTTTACTTGGAAATATATGCTTACAAAAAAAAGATAATACATACATTCACACAACACTATAACATGAGGGATAACTGTTAGCCTCACTCTTAAATCGGCAATCCTATATACAGAAATATGACGAAGTGAGTCATTACATCAGAAAAAGGTGTCTAAAAAACAACACTAAACCCCTATACCTGAGGCTTGCCAGATGAAACGCAGCACTACATATTAGGCGCGCTTTCCAACTATTTAATGTCCAATGAGAGTTCATTTAGTTTCGAATAATTGTTGGCGAAATACAACAATCTTTTGCTTAAGTAATTTGTGCATCTAGAACCGGTGCACCATTTTTTCTACATATCAGAACCTTGGAATAAAGACAAGGAAAATTAGGGACTGAATGTGCAACCTCACAGTATAACCTTTAGTGGATTGCAGTTTACTATGTGGAAGAACTTATTGATGTAGTCTGAAAGCTTCCACTGGATGAGCACTCCAAGGTATAACAATACTCAGGAATCCAGTGACATCTGACTTCTGTCTTGCCGTAAACATGTTCTAACTTCTGAGTATTCGCCTTAAGATTCGCATTAGAGCTCGGCTTGATAATATGGTGAAGTAGGCGGTCTGAAGTAATACACATCAATAATAGGTAACCCTCTAGCCCTCTGTACCCCGAGGGATATAGTTCAGTCCTGACGTGCGTTCCACGTATGGCTCAAAGCTTATTTCACAAGCGATGTTGTAGAGTCACAAACTTCTCCAGAATCAATAACCTAGGGTCCGAGGAGCTTAGAAGCTGATGCTGACCTCCATAGTTTAATTGAACTTGCCAAGCTGAAGACACCCGGTCAAGCACCCTCACCATCAGGCACACTGTCGTGTTACGTTGCGCTACTCGTAATCGACCCTCTAACCAGTTAGTTGGAACTCGTCGGTGTCCTGGCACGACCTTGCAAATATACTATTCCACCAGGCCATACATTAGTGTTCTTTCTTATTCTCATACTCGTAAGTATGTACCAAGTTCGAATAACTAGTGACTGGCCTCTGCGCCCTTCAAGTTCACAACAGGACATTTTCTAAAACGCTGTGCTCTTGAAACACTTTAGGAGCAACTGCACGATTAAAGTAAACTGAGAGTTCACAGGCTCCTATGTTAATGTTAATGGTTCAGCGCCACGTTTGGTTTTTTTCTCATAGTGGGTTCAAACGTGTTTTCCGCCTCCTTGCGCGTTGCTTAAATGGTGTTGATTGTCTAATTGAAAGGTCCTTATCTTTGTAGTTCGTAGACCGACTGTTTGGCAGAACTGCAAACGAGGTGTTGGACCCACTGAATTATTAAAATTCATGCCTCCACAAGGATAGATACCACCCCTATTAGGGTGCAAAGCAGCACATAGGTCAAAGATAGAACAACCGAGAAAGAAGGGGTAAAATAGTGAAAGAAAAATGTGGAATCACTAAAAGGGTGACGATTAGACAGGCAATGGCTTCTAGTGTGTGTTTTTGGTAATCCGTGAGTTCTTAAGGATATTCGACATTCGTCTGAAGTGACCAAATGAAAAGAATGTCGCTGCTTTTCCTGATAAAATACTCCTTTACACGCTTACCCTGATACAGGAGTAATTTAATCCAACGGTTTCATTGAGATTCATACGGGTTTACCTGTCAGTACACTCATAAGACTGTAGATGTTGGACCTACCATGCTGGTTTGTTGGGTGGCTGGTGTGTTAAGTTGTTAGATGAATAGATCATAGTGAAGCCATTTCCTTACCCCCCGCAAACTTCGAGCTACAGAAGTGGTAGACGACTGCTCCTTGGGCTCCAAGGCTTGTTTATTCGGAAGATGTGTTTTCTTTGAAACGGTCACAGTTACTGTCCTCATTCTAAGTGACATGAAAGGGCGGGGGTCACTATTCGTTACAATTCAGTCTTCTAGATCCACTACTACTCATGTTGTACGAGATGAAGGCCAGCTTCTCGATTTCAGCCCATTTGCACCGTAGGAATCGAAGTGGGTAACCAATCCCTTTTTGAAATCATCAGAAGATGGGATTATGACGGTCTTAGAGCTTTAAGACTCTGACGACAAAAAAGACAGCATGGACCTTAACTGGTGCCATCCCGTGTCCAACTCTTTGAAGATGACGTTTGAGGTGGAACTTCCGACTCAATCCCCAGCGGTCCATCGACAAGAAATGTATCAACGGAGACATATAACGCGATCATATTAGTTCTAGTCAGCCTGTACTGTTCCAGCAACGGCTTAAGGGCGTCTAAGTGGTCTGGTTAGGATTTGTATCATGGTGTGGGAGTTCGAAGCAGCGTCAGCAGCGTCTTTGTAATCGATGCGGTAAAACGACAAAGCGTGAGCAAATATATTGTTTTTGTGAATAAGCCATGACGTAATCCCCCAAAAGCTCTCAAAGGAAAACCCATGGTCCTACCAAACTTTGTTCGGTGCAAGACGAAGATCGTTGGAGACTTCAAGCGTTAAAAAGGTAATCTCTTTCATTTTGGTTTGATCGAGGGATATTTATTTTCGTCCGGAAGTAAGGACTGAAATTAGACCCAATCTTGTCTGTTATCATTAACCTACACCTCTCTATGTTGAGCAGAAGCAGGATTTCCTTCATCCAGTTCTGAACTTTATGCAGGTCTTCCTGGAGGACCTAAATATCTGCCAACCCCTGTGTTTTTCCCTTCGTATAGAAAATCAATTGCATGCGGTAGTGAATGAACATACCGAGTAGAAGGTGAGTAATTTCTAAAAGCAAGAAACGGAAGCGGACCAAGGATTTAATCTTCAGGCCCTTCAATGAAGGTTTAGGACCCATTAGGCAAGCATGTGCTAGCTCCAGTTATCCGCATCCGATTATCAGGTAGCCTCTAGGCTGAACAAGTTACTTCTCATGTTTGCCCATAAAAAGAAGTTTCTTACGTAGTGATACGCTGACTTGCCTTATCAAATGCTCTGCAAGAGGCAGCAGCTCAACATAAGTAGCTTTTTCTTGTTAATAAGGCGTGTGCAGCGGTCCTAGGTCACTAACAAGCCCCCGTATTTGATCCACAGGGTAAGAAATCTTGTTGACAGTAGGCTTGATTTAAGTTCCTCAATGAACGATCGTGGAGTGAATGGCCTAACACCCCCACTAAGCTTTGTAACTGAAAGGGTCAGGTGAGCTGACCAGTGGTTAGAAGCAATAGGTTTATCACCATGTTTTTACGCTTGCATGACAACGACTCAGTTCCAATCAGGGGGCGATATAACAAGAAGAGGGCTGTGCTAGTGGGCTGTTTAAAATTCCAGCACACACTTGGAACGCTTTCTAGTGAATGCCGTCGTTTCATGATTTGCTGGGATTTCAGATCCCCACGACCCCTAGATCTAAAAGGTATAGTAGCTGCGTCGTTTAACCTCTAGGATACTCGACTGTGTGCCTGGCGTGGGGTTTTCCACCCTGATTCACAGAAAATAAATTGGAATCCCTGAGAGGATGGGTTAGTTGTCTTTAATTTAGTGCAATGAACTCCCAGACTGCTAGGACCTGGTGTTTCGAGTGACAGACTACCCTTCTGCCTAACCAGTGAGTGCCTCGTGATTAACTTCTAATGTTCAGGTGAATTCGGTGGTGTAGTGTTTTCTGTTTGTATGTATTGCGGAATTCGGCACCATGAATCCATTCATACAAACTATTATTCATCCTCCACAGTGCCCACCATGACCGTAGGTGATGTTTCACTGATAGCCACGGTACAAGAACGATAGTTCTTGAATAAAAGCCTCTCCCCACATATCCTAATTCTTCAGTCTTCCATACTGCAATAGATACAGCAAAAGACGATGGGAAGACCTAGAGTCTCAGCAGTAAGCTGAGTCAGTGAGGCTGGGTTTCCAACCATAAATGGACCGGTTTTGTTACACTTTCCGTCGTTAGGATGCTACAATAAGGGTGTCTCTACTACAAAGCTACATGTCATCACGGAATTCTTGATACTCAGACACATCAGAGAAATATAACTGTTCATAATCCAACAGCCAATAGAAACGTGGGCAGGGAATGGCCATAGACAAATGCCTGATAAACGGAGGCAGTAGATTTTTCCCTACCTATGATACAGGTGATGTGTCATTCAAAGCGCACACAACTGTTTATGTTTCGGTAATCAATCTCTTTCTGCACCTAACTAAGATAGTTTTAAGGACTTTCACTCTGTTCCAGCCTGCTGTATGATCGCGTGCAGTAGCATGCATTCTATAGCCGATCTTTTCTCCAGACTGTCTACTGTGGTGGGGTCTGCCGACGTTGAATTGGCTGAATTACTACGCTGGAACAGGATCGTTAACCTTGTTTAAATATTCATATGACCTGGCAATCATTAAGAGAGCTTTACCAAGCCGAGTTATTTTGCCTAACCGGGTCAACAGAACCTCAAATCACAAAGTCTGCTTATAAGTTAGTTTGCTAGTTCGAACACCACCTTAATCCCAAACCTATGGGAAACTCTTTCTGAGACGCCTTCGTTGCTTATTAAAACGGAAAAGACTCTGATCCCGTCTTTGCGGTATTGCCACATTATCTTCTGTGGGTGTTACCACTTGCAATCATATTTTCAGTACAATTCCTGATTAATTTATTGATTAATGCCGGAGGGTAATTAGTGAGTACAGCGCTCGTAATGTATCACTTTCGTGCCTCAAATCGTCGGATTTACTGGTGTGATGTCCCGCCTTGAACATTCTACCAAGCCAGCTTTGACTAACATGGGGTCAGATGGTTTGAGATCTAGATAACGACTTAAAAGTGAAGGTTTTGGTAGACAATAGAGTTCACGCCTCTCTCTGGCTCTCGTTCTATTCTGCAATAACTACATCCGTTCCACAGATTCCCAATTCACGCGCACACCAAGTGTCGTTCGAGACTAGATTTACACTAGTAATGAAATTATCTGAGTACCTGAGTATCAATACTCCAAACGTGTTGTGTGCATATCAAATCCATATTTTGGGGGTGACTTTTGAAACTTTTCCAAGACGTAGTCCAGCGAAATAGACTGCGTCGAAACAAATGAGTGTTTCAGCCTGGTCGCTGGAGCTCGAAGCCTAGGATCTTTCCTTCCTAAATCCATTTCAAGTTGTATACTAAGCACAATGGAAGCCATGGGATTGGTTTCATTGCGGGTTGAGTAGGCTGCGTACACTGTATCAAACCTGTCATCATTTCCCTTGGCAACACCATTCGTTGCCA